CCCCCCCCGTACCAACGTTGTAAAGTTCGTTTTCGACATGACAACTTGTACTTCTCATTGTTGCAACAGGTCCACCTGTATCCTTAAACGATTTGTTTTTCCATATTTCCTCCTCAAGTTATACTGACATCAAATATAGTGAAAGCAGGGGTTATACTGTGGGGGAGGGCCATACAAAGCAACAAAGAAATAATCTTATAAATGAGTTAGAAACACATGCATGAAAGAAAAAACATTAAAATATATATCTAAGGGTTCATTTTCCTGACATCACATTATCTGACCTTTTCTGCTTGACTCATACATATACTAGATACTGCAAATAAGGGAAACCATGGGACCTATGTTTCTTTGGGCCTGGCTTACTTCACTTAACAATTTTTTAAAGCACACAGCTTCAGTCTTTACTTTTGCCTGCCATAAAGATCTTGGTCTGGTTTTTCATGCAAGTTGTTTTACACCTATTGCTTTGCCACGGTCATCTGTTAGTTACACTGGGATTTTTAGTATTGCTAATTCTAAGGAGTTAATTAAACAGGACTTTGGAGTGCTTGCAGGGTAAACTTGGGCTTTGGTTGTTCAGTGTTCAGGAGATGACCTCAGCTGGGCTGAGAGAGAGCGAGAGTGAGAGAGAAAGAGAGAGTGTTGAAATGTGGAACTTTCTAAGGCATAAATAATCTTTTTAAAGTTTGCCAATGGGATCCCAGGAGTCCTGGGGTGTTCTGTTTGTTTTTCACTAAGTGTTAGTGTTCAGGGCAATACAGGAGCTTTTCACACAGTTAAGAGCCTAAGAAGCGGGCAAGAGTGTAAGAAAATAGGAGGTTGGAGTGACTTCACCCTTGCCCTGGAAGAGTGACGGTAGGAGGGGTAAGTCTATGGCAAGTCCTTCCAAGAAAAGGGTGGTGAGGAGTCAGCCAGGAAACTAGCTCTGCTCTTGCCTTGCACCAAAAGCCTGAGTGTGGGTTACATAACAGAGAGGGACACACCGGCTCACAGGATGGGAGCAAGGAACCCAATGTCTGCCTCTAGTTTAAGCGTAGCTTTATTTTGACTCTTATTTGTGTCTATTTGCGTGATTCAACTGTGAGTGCCTTCATATCGTATATTAGCAAATAGCTAATGGATATGTGTGTAATTAAAACCAGGCAAAGCTCGAGCACCGGTGGCTCACGCCCATAATCCTGACACCTCAGGAGTCTTGGATTTGAGGACTGTGGTTCAAAGCCAGCCCAAGCAGGAAAGTCCACGAAATTCTTATCTCCAATGAACTTCCGAAAAAAAAAATCTGAAGTAGCACTGTGACTCAAATGGTAGATTGTTAGTGTTCAGCAAAAGAAACTCAGGGACAGTGCCCAGGCCTCAAGTTCAAGCCTCAGGACTGGAACAAAGAAGAAGAAGAAAAAGAAGAAGGAAGAAGAAGAAAGGAGGAGGAGGAGGAGGAGAGGAGGAGGAGGAGGAAGAGGAGGAGGAGGAGGAGGAGGAGGAGGAGGACGACACATGGAAGTTTGGAAGCTTGAAGACAAGATCACTAGCAAAGTCACAGCCAGGACTAAGCTTGACATTCATATCTCAGATAATGTCTTCCAGGTCCCTATTATGATGCATCATGCTACCATAAGATGACAAAGACATTTATAACCATCATTTTTTTTTTCTTTTCATGGTCATCCAAGACAAGTTCTCCACTCGGGGTTATTTGGCAAAGTCTATACACAATTTAGTTGTTATAAGTAATGGATACAACTGTGGTGGGTACCTTCCAGCCCATGACCCTTCTCAACATCCTAGAGTCTCCCTCACAACAAAGAATAACCAAAATCCAGGAGTTGAGAAGCACTGAGCAAAGTTCAGCATGAAAGCCTGGTAATAAAAAGATGCTATTTCACAGCTAACAGCCAGATGGGAGTTGCAAGATGTGGCAGGCTGTGCCTTTTCAAAGCAGGGTTTGATGAGAGGAAGTAGAAGAGGATGCACCTGGAAGCCATGACTATGAAGAATTTTCAGCAGACATTTGTGGTCTCCCTGGCCCCAATAGAGAGATTTGGGTCATAATACATTCAATGCATACTTCAGCTGTGATCCTAACCTATGACTTACAGTTGGATCTGTTTTGACTAAATTTTAGATTCTTTTTTTGTGATCCTGTCTACTAATTCCTAAAGTAGATTAGGCTTAAAAACATTTTATTTCACTAAAAATAAAACCCTATTTGAGATCAAACTAAAAAGTTTTTAAGCTGCAATACTTAAGTCGAAAGAATTTTTAGAATGCCTAATGCCACTTTGAAAAAATAGGTCTATTTAGGGGCTTTCTATCCAGGTTAAGACTCTTATTGTACTTTGACTAGACAAAAGTGTTTCAGAGTTAGCATTTGTACTATTTCAAAGGCTTTAGAGAGTATACTAGTTAAATCAAATTTAGGAAAACATCATCTGGTTTTCCAGTGAAGCATTCATTCTGTCTTTTAAAGTTTTCGTGTTTCTCACAATAGATTGAGGGCTATTACCTTGGTTTTTTTTTTAAAATAGGACTAGGACAGAGATGGAGTTTCTGAGAACAGACAATACAGGGAAAGATTTAACTTAATCTCACATATCATCTTGCCACAAATACTTTTCTTGGTATAAACTTTTCTTTCTATATATGAGCTTCAAAAAAGGACAGGTTTTTCACACACATGCTTGTGTGTGGGGGGGGGGTTGAAATGGACTTAATTTTAAGTGAGAAACTCAAGCCCCAGAAACTAAGGGTTTTTTTTCCTGCCTAGTGTGTCACAATGCACTGGCAGTAGTTCAAATAAAAACATGTGAGCAGCTGCTTTCCAGAGAGAACAAGAGTGGATTAGCACTTTGTGTGGGTAGCTCTGCCAAGTTCAACCTATCTACCCTATGCAACTAAAGGCTGAATTTCCTTTCTTGGGGGTGAAAAATATCTCCCATAATGCCATAAAGGGCTAAGATTCAAATTTCCCTTCGGGAAATTTTCTAACTCTTCTTGTCTTTCTCCCTGGAAGTTTTTGTTTTGTAGGATTTTTTTTTGGGGGGGGGTGGTCTGGTTGTGGGGCTTGAACTCTGGGCCTGGGCGCTATCCCTCAGCTCTTCAGCTCAAGGCTAGCACTCTACCACTTGAGCCACAGCGCCACTTCCAGCTTTTTTCTTTTTGCTTATGTGGTGCTGAGGAATCGAACCCAGGGCCTCATGCATGCAAGGCAAGTGCTCTACCACTGAGCCACCTTCCCAGCCCGGATTTTTTTTTTTCAAGAGCTCTCCAATGTTTCTCATCTTGAATCATCTTAGACTTTGGCCGCAAGGGTATGAATATCACACTACTTCATAAATCATTCTGAAAGCCCCTGGCAACATTGCTATAATACTCAGGAAATGAGGTTGGGTCTCTGTGTCTCCAAATATTGAAATGCTGAAGGTCAACTGGTGCTATTCTCTAAGGTCAGGAGATCACAGCCACATTAGTATGCTGTCCCTGAACCAAGTTCAATGTTTCTTTTCCTTTGGTACACATGACTTCAGCAAGATCTCTAATGGGCACAAACTTGTACTGCCATTTCTGCCATGGACTTCATGCTAGAAGAATCAAAATGGCAATTGTGATTCTTCTTGTACATACAAGACAATATTGAGCTTTTCTTTAGAAAATTGGGAGCCTTATCTGAACCTTAACATTATCTTTCTCTAAATCAGATATATTATTTCCTTAATAACCATATACATTAAACATGTTTTGTGGATTTTTGCTCTTGTTTTGGTTCGCTTTTGGATTAGGTTGTTGGAGGGAATCTCACAGCGTTTCTTAGGGCGAGGTAGTTTCTAATGTCATAAATGAGGGGCCAGAAAGCTAACAAGAAAAGCCACATGGCTGAGGACCCAAAGGGAGCTGCTTTACAGTGCTGCTGGCTTGATTTTGATCAACTTGAGAAGACTACTAAACTAAAATCACATTGGATGACGAGCAAGATGGAGGGCCATGTCTGCTGCGCGGCTCTCAGTACTGGGGCAAGCTCCGTGGGAAGGCGTTGAGCAGAAACAGAGCTGGGTGAAACCCAGGGAACTCTCGGATGTCTTTCCTTTCTATAAATTTCAACAAGTCCTACCTTTTGAAGGTTCTGCCATGTATAAGGACGCTTATCTTTCAAAGATTTAAGCCATTGTTTTATTATTGTTTGTCCTGAAAGAACTAGACATCTAACCTCCTAATTTTCCCTTCGGGTCTCTGTGTCCTAATAACTAATACAAACGAGAGCCCTATACTATGGAACGAATCATGCCTGCATAGATCTCTAATACTATATGAAGGAAAACAGAATCTTTAAGTGCAAAATATGTCACTTCTTTGGGGCATTACTGGAAATTGAACCCAGGGCCTAGGCACTGTCCATGAGTGTTTAGACTCAAGGTTATTATCACTTGAACCAGAGCTCCCCTTCTGGCTTTTCCTTTCTCTCTTTCTTCCTTTTTTTCTTCCTTCCTTCCTTCTTTCCTTCCTTCCTTGCTTTCTTCCTTCCTTCCTTTCTTCCTTCCTTCCTTCTTTCTTTCTTTTTTTTTTTTCTGGTTAATTGGGGATAAAAGTCTCATGAACGTTGTTTCCCAGGCTGGCTTTGACCCACAATCCTCAGATCTCAGCCTCCTGGGTTTCTACGATTACAGGCCTGAGCACCAGTGCCTGGCTGTATCACATTCTACCCAACAATGAACTCCTTAAATCTCTTCTTTTCATATACTGAAAATCAATAAGTTTATCAAACTGTCTGTGTTTTCCTTGTATATCTGGGATTGCACCTGGAGTAGAATTAATGGTTAACAGATGGTATTTAGAAATATTGTTTGGTTACGTGCAGTTTTGCCTGACTTTGCCTGACTACTAAGGCATGCAGGCAAGTTCAATTTCTTTAGCTGTCTCTCTCGGTGTGACCTGTTTGAATATACAACAAAAAGAAAACATAACAATTGAACACATTGAAAATGCTAGCCACTCTCCTAAGACACATTTCTGATATGGAGAGATTTTAGAGACTTGCTTAGGTATTCTGCATCAAGAGCTAACCATACCTAACCCTGGAAACCAAGGCAAGGAATCGTTTCAGTGAATATCATCTATGTGTGTTTGTTTAGAAAATGATGAAGACCATTTTGGAAGAAGGAAAGCAGCCTTTCTGACTGCTGAAGCCAATAAGTAAACACCTCCTCAGGTATGGTTTCAAAAATTATTATCTAACATTTCTTTCAACTAATTTGCCTCAATTACAGTGAGACTTTAAAACTTTTTGTGGTAGAGAATGGATGCTTTTCAAGGTGTGTTTAATTGAACATGTTAGAGATTTTTAGTTAAAACCTCTAATCAATAACACATATTTTGTAAATAAAAAAGACATTCAAGAGCAATATAGAAAAATATTCAGAAGTACTAGTGTGTCTCCTTGATGAGCCATCTAAAAAAAAAACAGAACAGTCCATTCAGTGTTAAGTTGGCCACGGCCAATCTATTAGCATGCTTGCCATAGATTTTTTTTTAAAGTAAAATGTGTTATAAATAAAAGACCAGTCAGAGCTCTTTGATAGATTGAGAGAGAAGCCACAACTATGGAAAGAAGGAAATGGGTTGGAAAATGGGAAAGAGAGAGAGAGTCTGAAGACTATGACAGAGGATATGAGTATCAGGGGAGCTGGAGGCAGAAGCAAGGGGGAAGGAGGGAAGGAGAGAGGGAGGGAAGGAGAGAGGGAGGGAAGGAGAGAGGAGGGAAGGAGAGAAGGAGGGAGGGAGGGTGTTGGGAGGGAGTGATGGAGAAAGGAATGGAAGAGAAGTCTGTCATGTGGCTTCTGCACAAACGTGACAGTGCTGGGCCACATACCATGCTGAGGGATGTTCTTGGATTTTGAAAAACTAAAACTGGCCATTAGAAACATAAAGAATCTGTGAGCACTATTCAATGAAATACTCCCTTTCCCTCCCTATTCCTTGTAGATTCTAATGGCAGTGAATAAATATACTTTTATAGTCTAAACACATGATTGTTTTTTTTCTCCTTGTAGGATGATCTTATTACATCAAATGGTATATCTCCTTTTCATTGTCTCTGTTTCTGGTGGTAAGTAACTCGTTGTCCTATGTAAAGACTAAAAATAAGCCGGGCACTGATGGCTCAAGCCTGTAATCCTAGCTATTCAGAAGGCTGAGATCTGAGCATCCAGAAAAGGCAGGAAAGTCCATGAGACTCTTATCTCCAGTTAACTGCCAGGAAACAGGAAGTGGTGCTATGGCTCCAAAGTGGCAGAGTTCTAGCCTTGAACATAAAGAGCTCAAGGACAGTGCCCATGCCCTGAGTTCAAGCCCCATGACCGACTGAAAAAGAAAAGAAAGAAAAGAAAAGAAGGACTGGAAATAGCTTAATGCCTTTGCCTGCAGGGAGAAAACATTAATCTAGAAAGGAAGAACACAGTATCACAGTGACTCCTCATTTATGAAGAAGGGACCCATGCTGTTCCCTATAAGGATAGAGATAAATTTCTTTCCTTTTCCATGTAAAATTCCAGCTGTTTCATAGAAAAAAGGACATTTACACAAAAGATTACCAGTAAGACAATGCCTAAATCTATATCTGTATCTATATTACATTTGTCTGTATATCTGCATCCATAGCTACATATATAACACACTTAAGTGATTTCAAAGAGCAATATAAGGAAGAGGTCTTAGTGTGGTTCTGGTGACTCATGCCTGTAATCTCCGGACACTAAGATCTGAGGATTGCAGTTTGAAGCCAGCTTGGGCAAGTGAATCCATGAGATTCTTATCTCCAATTAACTACCAAAGAGAAGTAGAGCTGTGGTTCTAGTGGCAGAGTGTTGTACTTGAGCACAAAAGCTCAGGAACATTGCCCAGGCCTTAAGTTCAAGCCTAGAGTCTGCTCACAGGAAAAAGGAAGAAGTCTTTATTTACCTCACTCATTATTCACACAGCTTTCTATAAGGCAGTCAGCTCAATAATAAAAATATGCACTAGATATTTTAGATTGAAAATGTTATGTAAACATTCATATATGGTTTAATGCATTTCAGCAATTTTACTATTGCTAATTCTCCTTACATTATATGCACAAAATGTATAGTTTATATACTACTTAATTAATATTCAGTAAAACAATGTATTTTAACTCTTATTTTTAATCACTTAAAATAAAATTATAAGCATTCCTTTAAAAACTAACTTATTCATATTGCATTTAATTTCTAATTGTTGCCAGCATTTGACCTCAGTAAACTCTTCTTTGATTTTGGTATATGTGAAAAAGAAATATCTAGGTAGGCATTTAAAAATTTAAAGCATACCCTGTTTTCATTGTATTTGATGTCGGTGCCCTGCATCTTGTATATACACTTCTCTAGCTTGGGGAGGGGAAGGGAAAAACAAAATGATTAAATAGGATACAAGTTGACCCATTGTTACAATGAGATGTACAAGACACTATGTTGAAAAACAAACTTTACAATTTAGACAGGGAGGGGGAAGGGGGGAGTGTAGTTGTGGAGGTGGGAGGGAACGGAGGGTAGAGGAAAAATAAAGGAGGAGGTAACAATGCTTGATAGGAAATGTACTCATTACCTTGCTCATGTAATTGTAACCCCTCTGTACAGTATTTTTACAATAAAATACCTATTTAAAATTTTTAAAGTAATGCTGGAGGGGATGTGGACAGAAGGGAACCTTACTGCATTGTTGGTGGGAGTGTAAACTTGTTCAACCACTCTGGAAAGTTCCTCTGGAGTTTCCTCAAAAGACTTCACATAGAGCTCCTCTATGACCCAGCAATCCCACTTTTGGGCATTTACTAAAGCTACCAGCACAATTATGCTTATTGCAGCATTATTTACCATAGATAAGATATGGAACCAACTCAGATGCCACTCAGTAGATGAATGGATGAAGAAAATGTGGTATGGGCTGGGAAGTTGGCTCAGTGGTAGAGCACTTGCCTTGCATGCCTGAGGCCCTGGGTTCGATTCCTCAGCAGAAGTGGCGCTGTGGCTCAAGTTGTAGAGCGCTAGCCTTGAGCTGAAGAGATGAGGGACAGTGCCCAGGCCCAGATTTCAGGCCCCATGACCGGACCCCCCCCAAAAAAATGGAATTCTATGCCTCCATCAGAAAGAATGACATTGTCCCATTTATTAGGAAATGGAAAGGCTTGGAAAAAATTATATTAAGTGAAGTAAGCCAGACCTAAAGAAACTTAGGTCCCATGGTTTTCCTTATTTGCAATAACTAGTATATGTCTGAGACAAGCAGAAAAGGTCAGATAAGTTGATGTTAGTGAAATGAACTCTAAGATTTGTATTCAAATTTTTTTTTCTTTCATGGGATTGTTTGTACCATATTTATAAGATTATTTCTTTGTTGCTTTGTATGTCCCTCCCCCACGGTATAACCCCTGTTTTCACTGTATTTGATGTTGGTATAATTTGTGGAGGGGAAGGGAAAAAACAAATCGTTTAAATAGGGATACAGGTGGACCCATTGCAACAATGAGATGTACAAGTCGTTATGTCGAAAACGAACTTGACAACTTTGGCCGGGGGCTAGGGGAGTGGGGAGGAGCAGGGGGTGGGGGGGAGGAGATGGGAAAGGATGGGAAGGGGAAACAAAGGAGGAGGCTGCAATGCTTGATAAGAAATGTACTCATTATCTTGCCCATGTAATTGTAACCCCTCTGTACAGTATTTTCACAATAAAAAAAAAGAAAGCAATCCACTTAAAAAAATTTAAAGTATATACTCTCATATTTTTTTCTGACAAGATTATACTGGTCCTTATAGTCACCCATTATTATTTTGAAATAATATTATTTTATTGATAAATATGTTAGTACAAATTTGATGACATATTTTGAACACTGCATTCAAGAGTTGCATCTGTCTACCTCTTTCTTTCCTTCCTTCCTTCCTTCTTTCTTTCCTTCCTTCCTTCCTTCTTTCTTTCCTTCCTTCTTTCTTTGTTTCTTTCTTTTTCTTTCTTTCTTTCTCTCTCTCTATCTCTCTCTCTTTCTTTCTTTCCTTTCTTTTCCTTTCTGTTTTCTCTGCCTGCCTGCCTTGCTTGCTTGCTTCCTTCCTTCCTTCCTTCCTTCTTACCTTTCTATATGTTTGTGTGTCAAATATTCTTAATGCATGAATGTGAAATATTAAAAAAAACTCAAACTGATCATGTACAAGTCTCTTAGGTGAAAATTTTGCATTCAACTTGTCATTCAATTGTAGTAGCAGCAAAAATTCCCAAATGTTTGAGAAGTATATTTACCCTTTTTCATCAATATTAGACTAATACTATGATGGAAACTAGAAGGTGTATTAAACTCGATTATAATTGAAAATGGCATATCAAAACTCTGAAATACAGCTGAATCAGAGTTTAGACCAAATATTATACATATGTATGTGTATGTACATATAGAGATATATGTACATATATACACACATACACACATACATATAGGGATATATGTACATATATACACACATACACACATACATATAGAGATATATGTACATATATACACACATACACACATACATATAGAGATATATATGGGGATGTATACACATATAGAGATATACATTATATATAGGGATACATATATGTGTGTGAAGTTTTGTTGTGTATTTGTGAATTGTAAGAAGAAAAGGGGTGCAGAACAATACTTCTTAATGAGAATATGCCAATATTTAAAACTACAATTTTTCAGTCAGTCAGTGACTAAGGAAAAAATGACCCCCAAAACCATGCATCGTGGAGGAGGGAAGGTTTGGTAGGGTAAAAACAAAGGACGAGGTAACAATGTTCGATAGGAAATGTACTCACTACCTTATTCATATAATTGTCTTTATACAGCATCTTTACAATAAAATAAAATTCAAAAAGAATATTAAAAAATTAAAAAAGATATGATGCTTTTGAAAAGTAAAAACTTATTTGAGGTTTTAGATGAAGGGGATTCAATAATTTTTTTCAAGACTCTCTCTCCTGTTAGTAAATTAGCATGGTAAGGTGAAATTATATGTTATCTTGTAGAAATCCATTAGATGCTACTGGAAAATGGCCCTCTATGATCTGTGCTAGCATAATCACAGAGCTGAGTGAAGAGAAGTAATTCACAGAGGTGAAAGCATCAAGCTCCTCTAGACCTGGTTGGTCTCCGAAAAGGCATCTTTCGCTAATAAAAATCTGAGAAGTAATTTAATTTTTCACACAGTATTCACTGTCTCCAAGATAGTCACTCATAAGAATGATGTTTGAGGCAAGGTTTTGGATTTTTTTTATTGTGAAAAAAACTGTACAGAGGGGTTACAATTACATGGGCAAGATAATGAGTACATTTCTTATCAAGCATGGTTGCCTCCTCCTTTGTTTCCCCTACCATCCCTTCCCTCCCATTTCCATGACTACACTCCCCACCTCCCCCGCCAAAGTTGTAAAGTTCGTTTTTCGACATAGCATCTTGTACATCTCATTGTTGCAATGGGTCCACCTATATCCCTAAACAATTTGTTTTTTCTCTTCCCCTCCCCAAATTATGCCAACATCAAATACAGTGAAAATAGGGGTTATACTGTCAGGGAGGGACATACAAAGCAACAAAAAAAATCACCTTATAAATACGTTAGAAACAATAACAAGAAAGAAAAACCACTTGTGTCCTTATCATCTTATCTGACCTTTTCTGCTTGTCTCAGACATATACTAGTTATTGCAAATAAGGGAAGCCATGGGACCTATATTTCTTTGCGCCTGGCTTACTTCAGTTAATTTTTTTGATTTTTTTCCATTTGAGGTTATTAATTTTCCAACACAAAAATTGTTGATTGCCTTCATGGCCAAGTTCAGGCATATTTTTGGTTAAGTAGACTTACCTGCCTTACTTTGGCCAGATTATTGTTTAACTAGACATGTGACCACTGATAATTAATACTTACCATGCATTATATTACAGAATGTGTTACTGAGCTGTTCAGAGACATAAGCTTTCAAGGGGGAGATGTTGATACTGTTTTTACACCAAGCGCTAAGTACTGCCAACTACTCTGTACCCACCACCCAAGATGCTTGCTGTTCACGTTCATGGCTGAATCAACATCGGAAGATCCTACCAAAGGGTAAATGTTTGTTTACCATTTACATAGAGGAAGTAGATTTTACAGGCCAATTGCCTACTAATAAATTCCCATCTGTAGTTTTGTGAAATGGCTGTTAACAGCCCTCTAGTTAAAATAGCTATTTTTACAGGGAAAAAAAATGAAGCTTAGGTAGATCAAGGAATGATTAAATTCCTCTCAGGGTAGCTTTCCTAGAGCTTGAAGTCTCAACATTAAGGGTACAGTTTTTCCTCTCTCTTTTTAGGTATCTTAATCATTTTGCTCTAAGTTTAATTGTTATTGATATCTGATAACTTTCCCCTAGTAATTTTATTAGAAAAACCTAAATGCCACTTACAATCACAATTAAAAGAAAAATGGTAAATTCACACCATATTATGTTTCTCAAATGTGATATGTAGCTATTAACTGAATCTCATAAACATTCACAAATTGCATTTCATTTGTCCTAGGTTTAAATTTTTAGAATATTTCAGTCCCTTTTTGTTTCCATATTAAGTGAAAAAATGCAATAATTAAGCCTTTATTTAAAATCAAGTTGTCAATATTTTTTAGTATTATTTCCACAAGTACAGATATTTACATAGTGCCCTGAACAACTTCTATTCTAAAAATTAGAATAAGAACCTGTGAGTATTTTCTAAACAAGGCAGTGGTGAATACTTTAGATTTTGTTGGTCTAAAAGCAAAATACTTGTATTATTATTCAAAATAATTATTGAAAACCAAGGCCAGGCATGGTAATGCATGTCTATAATGTTAGCTACTCTGGAGGCAGAAGTAGGAGAATCGTAGTCAAAGGCTAGACCAAGTAGAGTAAGAAACTAACTAAAAACAAAAACTAAAGGCAAAAAATTCTGGAGATATGGTTCAAATGTTAGAATGATTGCTTAGCAAGGCCCCAACTTCAAACCCTAGTAATGCAAAAATAGAAATAGAAATGAAAAAACATTCTTGGCTCAAGGGCTATGCAAAAACAGGCAGCTATCTATAATTTACCAAAAGGCTGTAGTTTACTCACTCCGGTTTACTTTTAGAAACACGTATCCTGCCTTTTTCAAATCTAAGGATGTTGAAATAAAAAATACCAGAATCCTGCTAAGAAAACATTTGTTTTAGGGAATTAAATATTTGTTTGGTTCATGAAATACAGCTTAGTTCCTTCTTTTTGGTTTTCTGTATGCTGACTTTTACGAGCCATTATTTTAATACATGAATTCTTACCTAGTCCTGGTATTTTTTTTTTTAAAACAGTTTTGCCTGTGTCCTGAAAGACAGTATTACTGAAACATTGCCAAAGGTGAATATGACAGGAGCAATTTCTGGATATTCTTTTAAGCAATGTCCACATCAACTAAGTGGTAAGATTTCTTAAGTAGTTGCTGTTATGCTGTGTATATTTACAATTAGATCTGATAAAGTTGTATGGCTATGAAGTAAAGCACAGCTATTTGGAAGTAAATCTCTACTAAAGTTCTTTCTTTAAAGAGAAAAAGTGATCACATAAGTGCCTCTACCCCATGAGACTAAAGTCACATCATATCTCACTATCCTAAATCTGACCATTAGCTCATTTCCTTCCTCTTTCTCAACCTAAAATTAAAAATTAAAGCCTCAATTAAATATAGCAATCCAAGCCAAAGCGAACAAATACAAAGAAGTACAAATACAGAAGTGACGCTTCTCTTTTTCCTTGTTTTCTTTTTCAAAATATGTTTTATTATCTTTAGTTATACAAAGGAGTTGTTACTTAATAAAGCAGTTTATGAATATAATTAATTTTATTGTTTTTCTTTCTTTTCTTTTTTTTTTTTTTTGGTCGGTCATGGGGCCTGAACTCTGGGCCTGGGCGCTGTCCTTCAGCTCTTCAGCTCAAGGCTAGCGCTCTACCATTTGAGCTGCAGCACCACTTCCGGCTTTTTCTACGTGGTGCTGAGGAATCGAACCCAGGGCCTCAGCATGCAAGGCAAACACTCTACCACTGAGCCACCTTCCAGCCCCTTTATTGTTAATTTTAAAAATGCCTTATTCTAGCTGTCCCTGAGATCTTTTGTTCAAGACTAGAACTCTACAACTTTGAGCCACAACTCCTCTTAAAGTTTTTGGGTAGTTAATTGGAGATAAGAGTCTCCTGGACTTTCCTGATGGGGTGGCTTTCAACCACAATCCTCAGATTTCAGCCTCCTGAGTAGATAAGATTACAGGCATAAGCCAGCAGCACCAAGCTCCAGATTTTTTTTAAACTAAAACACCTTATAGTTTATGAGGGAAAAATGACTTGGTGGATTCCTGTTCTTGCTAGAATTGTGTTATTATTATTTTTTGGCAGTACTGGGGTTTGACTCAAGGCCTTTTGCTTGCCAAGCCTCCAGTCCTGCATTTTTACTGGCTAATTTGGAGATAACAATTTAGCACAGTTTTCTGTGTAGCCTTGAACAGTCACCCTCCAAATCTCAGCTTCCTGAGTAGGTAGGACCATAGGAAATAGCTAGCTGTTGCTTGGCTTAGCATTTTGAAAGCTATTAACTTTGTTTTGCTATGAAATGGAAAATGCCATTTTTTGATGCGAAATTTGAAGAAGTATGAATACAAGTAGAATACAAAGAGTGCTAAGAACATGTTTGGCAGCCATTAAGTCTCAACAAATTTCTTATTGCTTTATCTTTCTCTCTCTATGTGAATAATTAGTTTTTTTTTTGTTTTGACTTTTTTTTTTTGCCAGTCCAGGGGCTTGAACTTAGGGCCTGAGCACTGTTTTTGCTCAAGGCTAGCGCTCTACCACTTGAGCCACAGAGCCACTTCCGGCTTTTTCTTTGTATGTGGTACTGAGGAATCGAACCCAGGGTTTCATGCATGGTAGAAAAGCACTCTGCCACTAAGGCACATTCCCAGCCCGAGGACATTCTTTAGGTTACAAAGAGGTTTTTTGAGTTGGTTAGTTCCAGAAGTCTTACTCTCCTTAGGTGATTGGTTCTTGCTTTCTCTTGTGTCCACACTTGAGTTGTTTGGTTATAGTTAACATCTTTGTTAGATTTTTTTTTTTTTGGTCCAGTTGTGGGGCCTGAACTCTGGTCCTGGGCGCTGTCCCTCAGCTCTTCAGCTCAAGGCCAGCGTTCATACCACTTAAGCCACAGCACCACTTCTGGCTTTTTTTTCTTTTTGCTTATGTGGTGCTGAGGAATTGAACCCAGGGCCTCAGGCATGCAAGGCAAGCACTCTACCACTGAGCCACCTTCCCAGCCCCATCATCTTTGTTAGATTTGAGTGTTCATTTTTTTTTTTATTTACTTGGATTGTGTTCACATCTGATTTGCTTTCCATTCACATCATGTGGTTTTTGGGCTGTCATGTGTTAGTTGCATTCAGGGAGGTAGGGCTTTGTGACAGGAGTTCCTCTGCCTCCTGCTAGCGCTCTAATAAAGACTCCAAATTTGGCCTTTTAAAAAAAATGCCTTATTCTAAATATTTAGGAAATTTTTCTGTAATTTTCCCATTCGGGTTCTCCACTGTCCATGTTTAGTTATAAAGGTCAATTACACATCTAATCCATTCCTAGGAAATGGATGATCAATAAACTACTAGATAAAATCTTTAATAGTACATTGTCTCAATACTGAAACAGACTCTTGAATAGCTTCGTCGGTAAGACAGCCAACGAGAAGCAAGATCAGAACATGAATATGTAAATTTACCCGTCTAAAATAGTTGTAAGAAGGATGCTGTGAGAAGTATTCTTTTAATGCTTCCTTATGAGAGGATGAACTAAGCAAATTGAGAATAAAAGGGAAGGCTTTCTGAGGAGGGTGGATGAGAAGCTCAAAGGGTAAGTCAGGAGGGACAAATGCTCAGCAATAATTCTGCACTTGCCCCTGAAATCTGAAGGGTATTCCTATTTTCCACTTAAAATTCTAGCTTGCAACAGAGATGTTTACGTGGACCTGGACATGAGGGGCATGAACTATAATGACTCTCTCGCCAGCAGTGCTCAGAAATGCCAAGAGAGATGCACAAATGACATCCACTGTCAGTTTTTCACGTATGCTACAAGGCACTTTCCCAGTGCAAAACACCGGTGAGTGAGCTGGGAACTGAGTTCAGGGACTTGGGAGCATTCCATGAAAAGCAAAATGCAGACTTGTTAAAATTACTTTTAATCACCTTGATGCCAAAACTCGTGCTTCAGCCCTGAAGAGGAGCTTAGAATTGTAAGCATGAAGCTCCACCCAGACCTGAGCTCCTCCCTGCCCTGGAGTTCCCGCCATACAGCTGGCCCCTCCCTCGGTCTGCTCAGACCCGTCTACATCACTTCCTACCCCTGACCCTGCTGCTACCTAGGTGGTGGAGGCTGCCATGGGCTCCCTCCCCGGGGGAACTCTAGTTCCTCTAATAAACCTTGTAATCATCTTTCTCCTGTGCCTGCCTGCCTCCGCGTGGTCCCCTGGAAGGATGTGATGGATCCTTGAAAAACTAAAGCAACCATTCTTGTTTTGTCATGAAAAAGTCCATTAAGAGTTCAATTCATTTAATTTATGGCAAAGTCTATCTTTTAATGGTAGTGTTGTGAAATTCCTCCACTATCACACCAAGACTTTTGTGCAATGGAGAAGTTGTATTATCTCATGGATTTTCCTACTTGCAGTTAGAAGACTAATCTGCACTTTTGTCTCTACTCAGTCACATCTGCTTGTTGAAGTACACCCCAACAGGCACACCAACTGGAATAGCCAAGCTCAGTAATGTGGTTTCTGGATTTTCACTCAAGTCCTGTGCACTTTCTAACCTAGGTAACTATTGTTTTCTTAACCAGGTATGTGTATGAATCTCATGATGTGTAATAGGTCTAATTTTGGACACCTATTTGTGCTCACTAATGAAATGGACCCAATGATCTTTTAACTTCTCTGTATAACAAAATTCATTATGTTCAGTGTGCATATATATTATTTAATAATTATTGTTATTTAATTAATATATTAAAGTAGATATTAATATATAATCACATTTAATATTCAATATTATATTTAATATGTAAAATACACAATAGATAACACAATATATAATATGCTATATAATATATGCTGTATAACTGCTATGTAATATATAATATAGCATATTGTATATGCTATATTTCATATTATATAGCATATTATATAACACAATATAATGCTAATAAACAATATTGTATACCATATAAATACAATATTGTAATAATACAATTTACAATATTATGTAGTCTATCATATATTATGTTATATATTAATATATTGATATGTATTATATTAATATGTAATATATAAAATTTATTTAATATATACTATATATTATATGCTATGCACATACAATATAGTAGTATATAATTATGTATTGATATATAATTATTTTGTTATATGTTATTGTATATAATGTATGACCTATCACATATGATATAATTAAATTAGTGATATGTAGTATAATTATATTATTAAATTAATTATATTGAATACAATTGCTTTTATGATTTAATATATGTAAATGATATAAAATATATGATATGTATTTCAAGCTTAAAATTGTCTCATTTTTTTCTAAATTAAAACAATTAAAAGGAGATTTGGGGAAAAATTTAACTATGAAGCTGCCAAATACCATGACTGGAAAGAATTTTTATGCTGGTGGATGGATGGATTATCTCACATGGTTTTTCTGTCACACAGCTTGTATTAGGGACATTTTCCCCAGTACAGCATTCTCAGACAGTAATGTCGGCAGTGTTATGGCTCCAGATGCCTTTGTCTGCCGCCGACTTTGTACCCATCATCCCACCTGCTTGTTCTTTACCTTCTTTTCCCAAGAATGGCCAAAAGAATCTCAAAGGTAAGGAGTTATGATTAAGAGTGGTTTATTACCTTTTAAATCACTTTTTCAAAAGCCACAATTGTACATTCTGAGAACTTAAAACTTCAGTCCACACATCTTTAGATGGGGTTTGCTTTGATATAGTTTCTTCAGGACTTATTTACTTACTTACTTATTTTTGGTCAGAAACCTCTGTCTCCTTAAAACATCTCAAAGTGGATTGCCAAGTACACGCATTACAAAGGACCATGCCCTTTCTGGTTTCAGTCTACAAAACTGTAGGCACAGCGTCCCAGGTAAGCAATGAAGATGCTTTCTTTTGTTACAACACCAACAATTCTTTGATTGAGGAACACTACGTTTATGCCTTCTCATATCTGACCTGTGATTCATTGCCTAGTATTCTGTCATTCTTCAATTTACCATGACACTGATTTCTTGGGAGAGGAATTGGATATTGTTGATGTGAAAGGACACGAAGCTTGTCAGAAAACTTGTACCAGTGCCATCCGCTGCCAGTTCTTTACCTATTCCCCACCTCAAGAATCTTACAATGAAAGAAAGTAAGGCAAATGAATAGTCAAAGAGATGTCCCCTGTCCCTTGCCTTGGCAGGTAAAGTTCATTACCTCCATACCGTTTCCCACTACAGGGGCAAATGTTACTTGAAACTTTCTTCCAATGGATCTCCAACTAAAATACTTCATAGAAGAGGAGGCATCTCTGGATATACATTAAGATTATGTAAAATGGATAATGGTGAGTAAATATATGTGCAGTAGTTAAGTACTGAACGGACCAAGATTAAGCTAGTCAATGATAGTGACAGAGGGAAGAAAAGTAATAAAATGACAAACAATAATTTACATAGCTTTTGTTCTTTTCACCCAAGCTAACCATGTCTAAAGGGTATAATTAGAGAGTTGACTGGCCTAGTATGAATTTAAGACCAGTTGAATATGTCTTGAATTTAGCGACTGTTTTTGTAGGGATGATTCTTGTTATGAAGCTCAAACATTTTCTTATTGTCTTTGCTGATTGAAATGTTCAGCATACATCAGTTAACCAAATAATTTGTTTTCTTCCCCCTTGATCTTTTAGTGAGACATATAAAATGATTCACTAAATCATGTTGCTAAAAGTTATGTATTTATTCAAGAGATACCAGAGTGGGTTTCCTTTTTCAGTGACTTTCACTCACTCAGATTCCCTGGGAAGTTTCTTCAGACCTGTGAATACTGCCAAAAGTTACAGAAAAAAATACCATAAATTTGAAGAACTGATTGTAGAAATAAAACTGTCTGTCTACATTATACAATTATACTAAAAATATTTTTTCAAAAATCAAATTGGCAGTATTCCCATCTCAGGAGTTAGTGTTCAGCACAGAAGGAAAAGACACTTTGCAGGTAAATTGAATTATCCTAAGAAACAGAATCCTAGAAGAAAAGAACATATGACAAACTCTACTCCCTAAGTTACTATATAACAAGCTGCTTCATTTTTTAACGTGTACTAGTTTACCTCAATACATTTTGGGGGGCTGTTTGTTTAGTGCCTAATATTATAATGCCCTGCAAATTAAGACACTGCTGAAAAAAAAGTAAAATGGGAATGATAATTATGCTATAGTTTTAGAAGTGAAATTTTCTGTGTCCGCTTATTTACTGTACTGAGAAGTGGAATCAACCTTTAACTTCCAAGAACTTGTTTTGTAGAGTTACAGCACATCCAATAATAATATCCTAAGTAGCAAACTATACTTCCTGAAGTTTACAAAGTCTCTGATGATATCTTTTTAGATTATTAAGCCTCTTCAGTAAGCTCAAGTAAGTTATAGCTCCTGTATTCTGTTTTCCTCTCAATAAATTTGCCTAAGACAAGAAATGTTCAATTACGTCTGTTTTTTAGTTCTACTTCTTACTATTAGAAGAGACAAATGATATTAAGTGATGTTAAATGATATTGGCATGGTTTAAACATATCGTAGATTCTATGTTTCACCCTGTCTCCTTTCTTCTATAGGAGAAATTCTATTAAATTCTATTGAATTCATTGACTTTAGTTTGTGATTAGAGTTGTAGATTCATAGCTACAGGGGAAAAGATATAAGAGCAAGTAAAGTAAAATGTTTTGTCTTTGTAGAGCACCTTCTGAGCAAAACGAATTAGATAACGAGGTTTTACTGCACTTTTAGATGAAATAGCACTCTAATGTGAAAGAGAATATCTAATTGAGATATTTATCATGTCCATCACTACCATTGACCTACCATATAATTTTACTTTCTGAACATATGCAGCAATTTCATAGAAACACATGTATCTCAACACTAAATGTACTGTTAGGCATTGAATGTTCAGCATTTTGTTTAACCTGAGAAAGATAATAGAATGAACATCAAGATTCATGACCTGTACCTAATGTCTTTTGCTGCATGACTGGTATCTTAGCTACTGTTTACCTATCATTGTTGCCAAACTTTGCCTCTATGTCACTTCTTAGCTAGAAGACTGCCCGAGGCCAACAAATTTCTACAGATAATGTCAACGTAGGAAGTCATCATTGCAATCTTTTTGTTGTAGTGTGCACAACCAAAATCAAGCCCAGAATTGTTGGAGGAGCTCCATCGGGTCACGGAGAGTGGCCATGGCAGGTAACTCTGCACATCACATCCCCAACTCAGAGACACTTCTGTGGAGGCTCTATCATCGGAAACCAGTGGATATTAACAGCTGCTCATTGTTTCTATGGGTCAGTGCCATTGCTGTTTTAATTGGCTTAACCTTCCTCACACAAAACTACTATCTTACTAGCAAATAATTTGATGCCAGTCTTAGGCACTATCAGAGCCTGGGCATTGTCCCTGAGCTTTTGTGCTCAAGGCTAGTGCTCTATTACTTGAGTCATAGATCCACTTCTGGCTTTTTGCTGGTTAATAGGACATAAGAGTCTCAGGATTTTCCTGCCCAGACTGGCTTTGGAACCAAGATCCTCAGATCTCAGTCTCCAGAGTAACTATGACTATAAGCATGAGCCAATGGCACTCGGCTTTTACATAAATATTTTAAAATAAGTAAATTATCCTATTTACCAAATTAATTTTCTCTTTAGCCAGGGCAGAGGGAAGCCACAAGGAAGAGCTACACATGGTATACCAGCAACAGAACAGGTGCAGGAACTTGGCTTTTTTTTTTTGTTCATTATACCCCTGAATTCCCATTTAAATGGAAATGGATCCCAAGGGCTTTCTGTGATTTGTCTATTAGAGCATATCAGCTCTGTGTACTGGGCTCACAACTAAACTTAAAGCAAGTTTTCTATTCTTTGCATTATTTCTCCCAGCCTCCCTCTGTTTACCTCCTAATGCACCATCAAATTGGATTCCCTACTAAGAACATTTTCAATGTTGACCAAATACAAAAGCTCCAGTTGTAAAATGCATGGAATTCCAGAGTATTTCAGTTGGTCAAATTCCCTGTTGGTTCTTTCTAGTATCTTCTGAGTTGTCTTCTTGATGGGGCTTTGTTTTAACTTCTATTGTCTTATCAATATACAGCTTACTCATTACTCAAGAGTATGTTTGGAAGCTGATAGTGCCCTTTATCCTTTCCAGATGGGAAAATACTCTTCATGGGAAAAGAGCCTACATTATTTTCTCAGGACCACAGCTCATCAATAGTAGCAAAACTTAGGCTAAAACCCAGGTCTGTGTGTGTGTGTGTGTGTGAGAGAGAGAGAGAGAGAGAGAGAGAGAGAGACAAGACAGACAGACAGACAAAGAGAGAGAGAGACACACAGAGACAGAGAGAAAGAGACAGAGAGAAAGAGAGAGAAGGAAGGAATCAGAGAATGAAAGAACATTCAACCCTGTGTTAATCCAGTACTTATTTGCTATGTGCTGGAAAACTTTTAGAATTAGATGATTTCTTCGCACATAACGTCCTACCATTCTAATTTTTTTTTAAAATATAAGATCTAGTTAAATAACTAAGCAACTCCAAACGTTTGGGAGCTACTTAGTGAAGGTATTTTTTCCTCTATTGTTTGTTCCTTAGGGTAGAATCACCTAAACTTTTACGTATCTATGGTGGCATTGTAAATCAATCTGAAATAAATCAGGAATCTTCTTTCTTTGGGGTTCAAGAAATAATAATTCATGATAAATATACAATGGCAGAAAGTGGGTATGATATTGCCTTGTTGAGACTGGAAACAACCATGAATTACACAGGTATGTAGAACTTTGAGGGGAAAGTTACTTGTAAAAGTGAGTGGTTAGGAAGGATGAGAGAATGCAAGTCATGACATTCAATGCACAAATGTGAAAATGGGATGAAGTAAATTGAGGTTTGGGGAGAGATAGAGAGAAGGATGAAAGAGGTGGTATTGATCAAGATCCGTGGCACTTGCAAACTGACAGTTGAATTGAAAAGTACAACTACTCAAAGATAAAAATAATAAATGAAAACTTCAAAGTGAATTAGGTAAAGTGATAGAACTACCTCGCTCCATGCATCATTATGAAAAAGAGAAAGTTTGGAAAGATTTTTTGTTTGTTTTTTTAGCATATATTAGTTACAACCAGGGGAGGGGATTTCATTCTGATGTTTCTACCATATTATGCAATGTATTCTAATTAATCTCACCTCCTCCAGTATTCTTTCCCCTCCTTCTCTCTCCTAACACAATTTCATCAGGTTTCATTGCTTTATTTTCATACATGCAAACCACCTACTTCCACTGTCTTCATCATTTTCCTTAGTCCGACCCTCGCCTAGTAACAACTACCCCCCAACAGAGATTGTTCCTCTTTCTCTATCTCCCCAACACCCTTACTGAGCAGCAGCTTAAAAAGCTAGTTTTTCATTCTCTTAACAGCCATTCTTCAGCCTGACAACTGGATCTTGTTTTGAGGGTGGATAAATATTTGCTTCAGGTGCACAGAATGGCATAGTATACTATAATTTTATAATATATGGGAATATTAATGATAATTTAGACTAATAGCTCCCTTTTTAGGAACAAAAAGAACTAAGGATCTGAATAATTAAGCAACTTCCTCAGGATCCTAAGGCTAGTTAGAATGTCTCGTTGGAGGAGTTTGGATGGTCTCTCTCTATTGTCTATAAGCTGAGCATAAGGGATGAAAAAATACAACAGTAAGACAAAAGTGAATAAAATAAACAGAGGAACTAAACAAGGGGGAAAACCCAATGCTATGTAACATAAGAATTGTCTGGGAAAGAAAATATTTTGCTTCTGAGTCAGCTTTTTATTACTCTGAGAACATCTGATATAATCAGCTTGTAAGGAGGAAAGGTTGGGGGAGGAGCTTCAGCCCACAGTTAGCTGGCCTCTGGGGCTGAGGAGCATGTGGGAGAGCAGGGCTGTTCACATGCTGTCAGCCAAAATTCAAAGAGAGAAAGAGAAAGGAGAGGCTGGTGTCCCAATACCCCAATGACCTTCCTTCCTTCCACTAAGCTCCGCCTCCTAAAGGCTCTATTACCTACTAAAGCCATATCCCAGTAGCACCACAAGTGGACAAATGGAACATTTAAAGCATGAGCCTTTGGATCATCAGTTCAAACTTCCAACTAAACCATGGTTTTTAAATTTTAGATTCTCAACGACCTATCTGCCTACCTTCCAAAGGAGATAGAAATATAATGTATACTGACTGCTGGGTGACTGGATGGGGGTACAGAAAACTAAGAGGTAAAAACGATGTTTGTAATCTGCTACATTCTCAGAATAATGGGCAAGGTTTTTCCATAATCTCCATCTTGTTTATCAAGTCTCGTTGAGATGCAAATCAATTAACACTGTTTAGTCCCAGGAAAAAGAATAACGGTGAAAGAAAAAAAAAACACCTTCAAGTGAAACTGATACATGTCTGCCTGATTAGAAATGGTAAAAATAATTAAGCCTCTGTAAGGTAATTTTTAATGAAGTTTAATGTGACAATTTTGTGCAAGTGTCCTGCTTTTTATCTAATTATTTTTTCTGAGAAGCAATTCTAGTTCAAATTATAATTAATTTAAAGCTCAATTAACATTAATTACGTGATACACACAGTAGTGAAAATGTCATTTTTATTCTCTATAACTACAAAAGTACTATGAGCTGAGACGAACATTTTTCTCTCTAGATTTTTATATAAATGTATTTTTTCCTGGTCCTGGGGCTTGAACTCTGGTCCTGGGCACTGTCCCTGAACCTCATTTACTCAAGGCTGGTGCTCAACCATTTGAGCCACTGTGCCACTTCTGGATTTTTCTGAGTAGTTTATTGGAGATAAGAGTCTCATGGATTTTCTTGCCCTGGCTGGCCTCAACTCACAATCCTTAGATCTCAGCCTCCTGAGTAGCTAGAATTACAGGCATGAGCCCCTGGTGCCCAACGTAACTTCTAAGTACGTATGTGTGTGCACTTATATAGCATATATATATATATATATATATATATATATACATGTATTATGGATGGATAGCCATATACACCCATATAGATAAGCCTAATATTTTTCTCTCTAGATTTTTATATAACTAGATATTAAGTATGTATGTGTGCATATATGCAAATATATATTGCACACATACATATATATGCACACATACATATGCTATATTTCACACAATATATAACATGTGATATATATATATATATGATTTATTTTCCAGATAAAATCCAAAACACACTCCAAAAAGCCAAGATACCCTTGGTGTCACATGAAGAATGCCAGACAAAATACCGAGGGCATAAAATAACCAACAAGATGATCTGTGCAGGCTATAAAGAAGGAGGGAAGGATGCCTGTAAGGTAATATTCTCAATCAACTGAATGTATTTCAAAGTAGAATTCTTAGTGCATTTTAAACCAACTTTTAATGGTTACTTTTGCTTATTTTATTAATTTTATGTTGATGTGGTACCAAGGAATAGAACCCAGGGCCTCATGCATGCAAGGCAAGCACTCTACCACTGAGCCACCTTCCCAGCCCTCAGTGCATTTTTAAAAGCAGACTTCTACCAATAGTCAGGAATCACAGTGATTTTGTTTTACTTAAACAAAAATCTAAATTTGACAAATTGGTTGAAAGTGAGCAGTCAAGTTCTTTGAAGAGCAAGGAAGAGCCAGAGAAAAATTTTTGGCAAAAAAAAAAAAATCCCTGAACAGAACGTATTTTAACATAGGAAGTATCTGAAGCAATCTAGTCCTCTTTTCCCTTTCTTCCTCTTTTCCTTAGGGAGATTCCGGGGGACCCCTGTCCTGTAAACACAATGAAGTCTGGCATTTGGTAGGGATCACAAGCTGGGGCGAAGGTTGTGGTCAAAAGGAACGGCCGGGAATTTACACCAACGTGGTCAAATATGTGGACTGGATTTTGGAAAAAACGCAAGCTGCGTGAGAGTCTCTGGGTATTGCTTGAGTACCAGAGGAGAAAGCCAGAATACACCCTGGAAAAAGCCTTTGATTTCAGGAAGGAGCTGGGTAGTTGTAAGGAAAGAATCAAAAGAAAATAAATGGTCATGTTCAAAACTCTCATTCTCTGCTAATCATGGCTTACGTTTTACAGAAGCCGGTCTCTTGCTTTTTGATACCAATTTCATCAGCCACCCCCCCAAAATACCATCAGGAAATATTTTTGAAGATTAAAATATGGCAGACACACCAGAAAAGTGTTGAGTAGTGCCATTGTGTTGATCAGCCTTTTTTTCCCCATTGCTGTGACAAATTCCCAAGAGAACAATAGTTTAAAAGGAGGAATATTTTTGGCTCATACTTTCCCAGGTTTTCTTCATGGTGTGCTGGCTCTGTTGGAGAGAGAGAGACAGAAGAAATGGTCTGGGACAAGATATGTCCTTCTAACAACCTCTTGCCCCTCCCCAGCTACTTCTTCCAGATACACCCCTTTTCTGTTTCTACCACCTTCCAAAATAGCGCCATCTGCTAGGAACAGAAACATCCACCAGGTAGCAGTGCTCAAAGAAACCATCATAAAAGCATTTGTTTAGTGAAAATAGAAACAGGAGGAAAAAAGGGGGAAGGACAGTCATCAATTTATGATTATCTAGTCTATGCCTATGTGAGCACATTTCTTGTGCAAAGGAAGAAAGTGACTAAATTTAGTGCCACATTTTCCGAAAAAGTCAAGATACTTGTGTCTTTTCTATTTTTTAAAACTCTATTATTTTCTCCACTCACTTTGGTAGGCACGAGCTAAAAGCAAGGATGAATGAGACTCCAGAAACCTCAATATGGGAGACACCCAAGAGCAATGAATTACCTGGAAGGGATACCTTAACCATATACTTGTATAAAAACTGATTCTGCAGAATGTTATACTTATTTGCAGTGTTTTGGGGAGGACAAGATATAGAAAGCAACTTAAAACCTTCCTAAAAGCTGCTACCATTGAGCTGACAAATCAGCATAAAATAAACTCATGCTACAGAGATTAAAATTTTAAAAAACGGAGAGTGTGAATGAATAGTTCTAGGAGACTCTTCAGCATCATCAATCCATTCTCTGTGTTATGAATACTGGAATTTTTCTTTCCTATAGTCACCTAATTATGATTTGAGGTTACTGTCCACATAGTTTTCAACTTGTGGAAATCATCACATAATTCATCAAGTGTGTATGTGTGAATATTCATTAAGAATAATAATGTGGTAATATCACACTGAACTTCAGGGGATGTAGGGCTTAATAAGTAAATTGTTCCTAGTCTCATGGTTTGCTGTCTAGCTTCCATGAAGAACAAATTAAAATAGTTATACAAGATAGAGCCTTCCAAATAGTAATAATCAGAATGCACAGGCTTCTGTGACAACATAAAAGAAGGAGGTTATTTTGAAAACTTGAAGATTAGGCTAAAGAACAGACAGTCATGCTGGCACTGGTGCCTAGAGGAAGCTGAGATCACGGATCACAGTTCGAAGCCAGCCCAGGCAGGAAAGTCCATGAAACTCTTATCTCCAACTAACCACCAAAAAAGCCAGAAGTGGCTCAAGTGGTAGCGTTTTGGCCTTGAGCAAAAAAACAAAAACAACAACAACAACAAAAAACAGAAAAAAACAACTCAGGGGCAGCCAATAGGTCCTGAGTTCAAGCTCCAAGATTGGCACAGAGAGAGAGAGAGAGGTAGGGGGAGGTAAAAAGGGGAGGGAGAGGTTGTGAGGAAGGTGAAAAGAATAGATTGTCTTAAGAAAGACAAAACACACATTCACAAATACAAATTTTAAAAAAAAACTAAAAGATAAAAATGACTGAAATGGCAAAAACAAGCCAGATTCAAAATGTTTGTATATTCAAGCAAAGAATTATAACATTATCATGATTATCAAAAAATATTACCATCTTACTACTTATTCCCTAGTAGTGTCGATGCAAGAACTAGGGATGATGGTACACACTTGTAGTCCCAGCCATCCGAAGGCACTGGGTTGAAGCGCAAATCCCTGTCTAAAAGGACTGTAAAGGACTGTAGCATGCCACAAATTAAATTCAATCCTTATTACCACCAAAAGGCATGAGCCACAATTTAAATTCAATCCTCATTCGCACCACCAAGAGCCTCTGCCCAGGTAGAACCCCATCTCTCCTCAAATAAATGTTTTCTGGTTGTTAGGAATGAGTCTGCAATCATCATGAATTCCCTATGAACTTGAGGTGCCCATTATTCTAATCTATGGAAAGAACTCAAATTTGGGAATGAAAATTGCACAGAATTAAGGTGCTCATGTAAGAAGTCTTTACAAGCGGAGCTGGGGGGCGGGGGGAACTCAAGCTTAGCTGCTTGGAAGGCAGAGACTGAGGAAACCCAGTTCAAGACAAAACAGCCCAGACATATCAAGATTACATCCATCTCAAGCAGTATCTGGGTGTGGTTGCCCATGCCTGCCATCCCAGTGACAAATGGAAGCACAGATAGGAGGATCACAGTCCAGTTGGCTCCAGCCTAAAGCAAGACACTATCTTGAACTGTAGCCAACTGGCTGTGAGCTCATAAAGGGTCTGGCAGACTGGTTCAAGGGGTAGAGCAGCAAAAATGTGTCCCTGAGTTCAAAATGCCAGGACTGCCAGAATTTTATTTTTAATGTCACTACAGTTTATGCATATTAATGAAGAAGACAGGTTTTATCAGGGCCTGTTGAGACCTACTCCTCCCTTCACCCTCTGCATTCTATTCTGTCATCTATAGGCATGTGTGTGTGTGTGTGTGTGTGTGTGTGTGTGTGTGTGTAGTCTTTAAGTAGTTGTGCAAAGGAGTTGCCATTTACCAAAGCAGTTTATGAAGACATTGCATCTTGATCAATGTCCCTCCTTTCAACATTCTCACCCATCTTTCCCTTACCAACTCCTTCCCCTACTCGTTTTGATTTTTGTAGGATATACATTGAGTTCTTGACTGCATTCTCCCCGTCTTCTCCTCTTCATTTGTCCACCTCTTACCCCTTGACCCCACCCCACCCCTTTCGAGTACCCAGTTCCCAGTGTTTTACTTTGTTGAACTTTGACTTTGCTTGTCGAAGGAATCACACTGATCTCTCCCTGGGATCTCCCGTATCTCAGTCCATCCGTTTCTCCACCCAACCTATTTCCTTCTACGTTTATAAGCTAAGTGCAGCTTGCATGTTTGCTACGCGCTTCTGCTATCCTTGACCTGTCTCAGTCTGCCCAGGCCTTTCCGTGAGGGAGAAGGCTCAGTATTTTGGTTGGTGGTGTGTCACAGCTCACATGGCCCAATGCTCCCCAGGCAGAGAATGCTGCTCCTTCTGCAAGATCACAGTCGTTTTCTCTCAGAGCCTCTCCCTGAGGGAACCTGTTTGTTCTCCAGAGATGGCTTCTGTGGGTGCTGGGCGGAGGGGGAGACCACAGGGCCTGCTTCTCATGGTGTGTGAGTTCCAACCCCTCTCTCACCTAGGAGGAATGTGTGTTCATCAGAAGCGGGCAGGCTTCTCTCTTTCCTTCTTGGGAAGACATTTTCTGCCATTCTCAAGACTGTCTCATGAACTAAAAAGAACTCCTCAGAGCAGTTCTTCAGTCAGGACTGTGGCTCTGAGCATGTAGGGCTGAAGGGTAGGATGGGTAAACATGAATATTTTGGGGGGACTCAACCACCTCACACTCATTTCGCTGCCTCTCTGGTGTCTTGGGTTTCCTCATCTTTTGTTCTCATATCCATTTCCATAACAAATGACCATAAACGTTGGGGTTTTAAATAGAAATGTATTATTCTCTCACAGTTCTGGAAGCCAGAAGGCTGAACCAAGATGGCGGCTCCTTGGCTTCTTGCAGCTGCTGTGATTCTCAGTGCTTTGGGGCTGAACCTCTCTTTCTCTCTGCTTCCTTCTACTTGGCTTTCTCCCTGGAGGCTCTTCCTGTCTCCTTAAATGGAAACCAGTGGGAATAAGAGTCCAAACGACTGTAAATAGTATAGACTGCACGTTGGAAGCTTCCTGTTGTAGAGTTTGTAGTCATTCATGTAAAATGGAAAAGCTTGTACTGATTCAAAACAGTACAGAGGGGTTACAATTACATGGGCAAGATAATCAGTACATTTCTTATCAAGCATTGTTGCCTTCTCCTTTGTTTCCCCTTCCCATCCCTTCCCATTTCCCCCCACCCCTGTCTTCCCCTACCTGCCCCCTCCGCACTCCCAAAGTTGTAAAGATCATTTTTCAACATAAGGACTTGTACATCTCGTTGTTGCAATGGGTCCATCTGTATCCCTATTTAAACGATTTGTTTTTTTTTTTTCCTTCCCCTCCACAAATTATACCAACATCAATCCTTCTTTTTGCCATTGGGAGTCAGGCAATTTTTAAAAATCATTCATGTAATAATATATATTGGGAGTTCCCATCCCAAGGGAAACAATTGTTTTTGTACTGTTCTACCTAGAGACACAACAAATTTGAATCTATTGACTCAGTTTTTCCAGTGCACCCAAGAGTCCTCAGAGATCGTGTGTTTTTTTTTTTTAAACAACCAGGTACTTTCAAACAAGATTGTGTTATGCATAGGCCTAATTTACATATTCTGAAATGTCTATGTGGAGCTGCAATGCTCAGACACTCTTAAAAGATCAGCTAGACCTGGGTACTGTGGCTCGTGCTTGTGGTCCGAGCTCATCAGGAAGCTGAGACCTAGAGGATCCTGGTTCCAAGCCAGCCTGTATAACAAGGCCATGGGACTCCTATCTGTAAAGCAATCAGAAAAAGCCATACTACGGGTGTGGTTCAAGGGGTAGAACACCTAGCAAGCAAGCAAGCTAAGCAAGCAGGAGTCCTGAGTTTTAAATCCTGTTGTGGCTCCGTGTGTGTGTGTGTGTGTGTGTGTGTGTGTGTGTGTGTGTGTGTACATAGTTAAGAGGTTACCAATGAGTTTAATAAAGTACTT